GATTAGGTCTGATGTCCCTTTGTTTCGATTTGTCAAAGTCTTCTAGTTGCTGTTTTCAACACAAAGATAAAGGTTGTTTTTATTTTTCTAACAAAATATGCTATTTACCACATTAATCTTACCCGCTCATGAAGTCTCCAAATATGTACATGCCATTCAGGTTGGGGTTTTCACAGCCTCGGTACACGTAACCTCCAGTCACTGATTTTCCCATCTTGTGTGGATATGCATAAATAGGCAAGACATCATCTGTGAAATAAACGTAAAGGTCACTATCTGTATCATTGTGGTTGTTCCTCGGCTAGGCAGGCCTACAAGGGAGGCTGTGGTTTAGTGGGGTTGTCCAGTGACCAATGGTTCAATTCCTGGCTCAAGAAACAAACAAGTCCCTGGGCAAGACACTCAACCCCAAATTGCCCCTGACAGCTGGATGAACATGACTCATAGTGATAAAAGCAGTCCATTTGCTTTTCTTTACAGTAAAAACCAGCCATTTAATACTCACCTTAGAATATGCATTTTCTAGTGTGTGAATTTTAAAGTTGACCATAAATATATTTTTTGAGGATAAGTCAAAATATTAAGTGCCAATTCATATAGGTTCATTGAATGAATTCTAAGGAAGGCAGATAATTTTATAAATTTTTTGGGAGGGAGCTTACATGGTCCTTATATGTGATTAAAAGCTCAGGTATCTGATCCTAGTCTTGGTCTGAACACAATTAAAGACCACTATCTGTTGTGTGATGCTGAACAAGGGTAAGGGATGGTTCCAAACCATCTGAATGTAAATCCTACCTAGTGAGCTGTTGGCACACAGTTTCTTATCATAACAGGAAAAGCCCTCTTTAGCCCTCCAGCCGTAGTTCCGCCCTTTCTCGATGATGTCAATCTCTTCAAACTTGTTCTGGCCTACGTCTCCACAGAAGATTCTTCCCTTCCCCTCTTTGGTTCGAGGATCGCCCCTGTCCACCGAGCATCTCCACATATTGCGGACACCATAAGCATAAATCTCAGGTCGAGCTCCTCGTTCGTGTATGAAGGGGTTATCTGGAGGGATTCTGTACAGTGGGCCTCTCTCGTTGTCATCCACATCAATGCGAAGAACCTTACCCAAGAGAGCTGACCTAAAATAGATGTGGAAATATGAAAAACAAATAATAACTGACCATTTATGTCATGTGAATATGCTCTTACATTAACATTAATTAAAATACATTTATTATGATGAAAACAATCATCTACAGTATCTCTTATTGTGATAATTTGGTGTATTTGCTATTTTTAGATTGATTCTTTGATTGATACTTAGGTATCATCAGTCATTCTTCAGATTCTTCTTCGGATCAAATATTATCTTACTTGTTCTGAGCATTCCCATATTTCCCAAATGGGTCTCCTGCCATCCCACCATCACCTGTGAAAATGTACAAGTAACCATCATCTGCAAAGAGCAGTTGCCCTCCATTGTGGTTTGATGCAGGCTCATCGATCTCCAGAATAACCCTGGATGGACATCAGACAAGACAGATATGACTAGGTATGACTCCCTATTTGAGTTTATTTGTATGGTGCATGTATTGTTGTTAATGTGTCAGATCACTCAAAACCTATTGCTGTTACCTAACTAGGATCTACAGTCCATACTTACCGCTCAGAGGTATGATCCACTACATTCATGTCATTGGCAGATACACGGAACTCACTGATCCTGATCCTTTCATCAAAACCCACCTCCACTGAGTAATACACATACAGCTTTCCATTGTACTTGTACTTGGGGTGAAAAGTGAGTCCTAAGAAGCCTCTCTCGTCCCCTTCCCATGATGATGTTAACACTGCCTTGGTAATGTTCAAAAAGGGCCTCAGCAATTTGGACCGGTCAGGAAGGTAGGTCCATACCAAGCCCACCTGTTCTGCCACAAAAAATCGATGTGTGCCGTCGTTAGCATGGACCATGGCTAGTGGGTTCCGCAGACCATTGGCCACTTCTTCAAGACACAGCTGCAGACAGCCATCTGTGTCGGACTGAACTCGACCCAGATTCTGAGTGAGCTTTTGGTTGCTAAGGAGGTGTGGGTAGCAGTAGTCCACGTCGTCTAGCCCAACATACTGGCAGAAACGTGCCTGGTTTTCTTTGACTTTGGCTATATGTGGGTCATCAGACAGGAAGGGGATGGCAGAGCTGCACTTTTTCCAAAAATCGAAGCAGTGGTCCTGACAGAGGCCAGGGATGGTGTGGACTGGGGTGCTCGGGTCTTCTGCATCAAAGAGGTGGGCTGCATAGGGAGAACATTCCTGGAGAGTTGAATGGGAGATATGGGAAGAGAAGGGTCAGTACCAATGAGGAGAAGGACTCAGCACAATAGAGCTTTGCTTAGTACATTAGTGGCTTTTGGTCTAAAACACTTACTATTATTATTATTATTATTATTATCAGCTGTAGGGAACTACTATCATTAATGAAATAACTATCAACAAAAGGGACCCTGGCCACACATTGTAGCCACGAGTGTAAAGTAGCATAAAATGGTAACACCTGTGAATAGCCTGTAAGCTCTGCTGACAGTTCATTAACCAATATCAGCAATAATTATATAATAATACATAAATAAATTATAATAATGACATACTAACACTATATTCATAAAGACCCATATTGTTTGATTGTGTCTGAGCGTTTGTAGCATAAAGCCAGAATAATAATGATCCAAACCATGTTGACAATACTCCCACTAACTCCTCTAGGTCTTTGTCCTATACTCTAAAGCTGCATGTTTTGGCTAACTATTTTCAGACTGTCCAGATGTAGTCAGGACATATTTGTAGAAGCTGCCTCTGGGACACCTTATCCCCCATCTACACCATGCTCTGAAGCATAAAGGTTCAACTAGTTAATATTCATAATAACTGCATAATAATAGTACACTGCTAAGTTATTAAATTGTTATGTATTATGTCATACCCAATTGGATGTCTGTCAAAGTCAAACTAAACCAAACTGATGAAAAGTATGGACGGAGTATTTGTTTAAATACAGGTCATTCTGTGTCATCCTGTTTTTTTCTTCTATTATGTAAGTAGTTATATCATCAATAAATATGCAAAAAGTATTATAATGTCAGTATGGGCAAAACCAAATACATGATATTAGACTGCAACCGTCTGTATTTCAAGTAGTCAACAGGACAACTTTAAACTAAAATTAATGAGATTCTGTTTACCCTTTTTATTTAATTTGACAGTGCTGGTCAGCGGTTATCTACAATATATGTGATCCACTTTTGACTGGAGAATAAGTGGGTGGTACTGTGGGGTGTGTGCATTGGTGTGTGAAAGGTTTAAAGGGAAATCAGTAGGGTCTGACCTTTACCTTCATTAAGCTCACTTTTAGCTTCTCAGTGAGCAGAGGCACAAACATTATGACATTTCCCTTCAAGAGCCCCTGGCTGCATTCATCTGTTTGAGTGTGAAAGTATTTGTCTCCTGCTCATTTAACGGCCACTGTGTTCGCTGTCAGTTCAAACAGTTGGTGCATGATGGAGAAGTTCTGTACTAAGCAGAGCGACCTTTGCCCGTGCATGCCTACCTGGCACAGCAGCTCCAGGACGAAGCCCGCACAGTTTGCGTATCCGTGATAATCAAAATGATCCATAACTTTATAGAACCTGGCCATCAGCTCCTGGTCCTTTTGATAATCACAGCAACCAAACTCCTTATACATGACGCAAAACTCGAGCTCCCTCAGCGGACGGAAGGGAGGCTTAAAATCCAAACACTGCGGGTGTAACATCACAGGTGCGACCCAGAACATCGAAAAACACAAGACGAAGAGCGGCGACAGCCACAGGGGACGCGGGGCTTTGCCGTAACACCGCAGCATTATGGCGAGCGGTGGAGACAACGGAGGAGCGAGTCGTGCACAAGTGGCTTCCTGTGTGCACTTTGCTCTGACTCCGGTCATCCGCCGAGTTTGGCACAATGACGTGGAGAACCTCTGTGCGCGCTGGTAGTCCCGTTGCTTTCCCGGTCCATCTGCATGCACACACACACACACACACACACACACACACACACACACACACACACAGAGAGAGAGAGAGAGAGGGAGAGCAGGGTTACATTGCTACTGTCTGTGGATCAGCCACATCGTTCTACAACAGCAATAATATTACTGCTGACACCCCTCCACAGCAGCACGCGGCCGGCTGTGCTTGGAGAGTTCTTGCAACTTCATACCTTTAACTAATATATTTTGCAACATGTAATTGTATGTCATCTTCTGTTGCCGAGCAGATAGCAACCTGAGCCAAGCTAGATTCCTGCATTCAAATGCAATCGTTATAATAATAATAATAATAATAATAACAATCATCATCATCATAAACGAGGAAGATTTTCATTGAAAAAGTGAAAAGGGTCTACTTGATTTTTTTCCCACAGTCTTGAACAGTGGGGGCTTTGTTCATATCCAGGTCATGGGATGAATGTTTCTAAAATACCAACTGACTTAATGAAGCATGACTCTGGTAGTTTTTATGTTGAGAGAGCAAAGTGAACCTCACCTCTAACTGCTGAAGTGCCCTTATTTTAGTAGCCTATACTTGTCTTTGTATTTTGAAAAGGACGACAGTGTGTTCACTTTGCGAATGCATCCTTCGGAATGATTGTGTTCTGTGTGTGTTCCACTTCACGAGTGTCAAAGGAAACATAGCCACAGTCTACGTATTGTGAGCAAGAATGCACATGCATCATATAATCACCCTTTAACGGTGATCTATAGTTCACATGTTGCTTGGTCCTGTTTTCTGATGACAAAATGTCAAAAGTGGCTAAAGTAATAGGACTGTTTAAAAAAGAATATCACAGCAACCAACTGGTCTAGGAGCATAATATATAACATACAGGTTTGTGTTGCTGCCTACAGAGGACACTGTGGTACTCTCTCTCTCTCTCTCTCTCTCTCTCTCTCTCTCTCCCCCCCGCCGGTGTCAGACAGTGTCTCCATGCTGACCCTCCACGGTTCATGTTTAACACTGTGAGGTCATTCCTTCAGTGTGTCATGTGTAGTTTTCTCTGCGGGTGGATCCGGAGCAGTTCAGTCTGATGAACACGGATCTGTCTGCAGCCCGGTGCTCTGTTTTACCATGGATCTGGATTTCATCATAACGTAGAAGACTCGCGATCTATTCCGGCGACATAAGTAAACAGCCTGGACATGGACGGTCACGGGACGGACGCGAGCAAGCTGTCCGATGAGGAGCTGCTGATGCTGGGGAAGGAGGATGTGATCCGAAGGCTGAGGAGGCTGGAGAGCCGCAACATGGACCTGATGCTGGAACACGCGGACATGATGAAGGACGTGAACCGCAGCCTGCAGGTCCATCTCCATGAGATCCGGAGTCTGAAAGACGTCAACCAGAAACTTCAGGACGATAACCTGGAGCTGCGGGAGCTGTGCTGCTTCCTGGACGATGACCGGCAGAAAGGGAAGAAGGTATCCCGGGAGTGGCAGCGGTTCGGTCGCTACACGGCCAGCGTCCTGTGGAAGGACGTCGGACTGTACCAGCAAAAGCTTCAGGAGCTGGAGGCCGGTCAGGAGGCGCTGAGGACGGAGAACATGGAGCTGAAGGAGATCGTCCTCATGCTGGATGAGGAGAGGAGGGGAGCCGGCTCCCGGAGCTCCATCGACAGCCAGTCCAGCCTCAGCAACCTGAATGGTTCGGTGTCAGTTCGAGACGTCGGGGATGGAAGTAGCACGTCCAGTACGGGAAGCATAGGCAGCCCGGACCATCACCCCCACAACCACCTACATAAAGCCCAAACAGCATCTCTGAGAAGGTCTATGGACGACCTGTCCGCCGCTTACCTCCACAGAGGCACCGGGCTCAGTGGTGAGTGATTCTCAGATCAGGGTCAGACTGTGGCCTGTCACTTATCAGTTTAGCTGCATGAAGTGCAAGATGGACAAGAAGCTTGAGATAAATCATTATTGTTTACTTTGGGCTTCATTCGAAACAGGCTGCAACACACAGGGGCAACTAAGAGAAACCAAATGTGGCAAACTTCCAGTTACAAGGTGATTTATATCTCATCTTTAAAACATGAAATCACAGAAACATCACATGACAATGATCATATGTTACTGTTAAAAAGTCCATTCTTGACAAACTCAAACTCCAGTACAAGTGTGATCCTGACTTTCAGCTGTAAGGTCTTCTTTAAAAGACGAGGTTGGCTTGATCTGTTGAAAATATAAACTCCAGAGTTGTTACTCCGAGGACCTCTCGTTTGTGTTGGCATTAGCATTAGAGAGTCCATATAAAACCACATAAGTTGCTGTTGTTCTAACAGTTGTTACATTGATGGAGGTTACGTTTCTGTTATTATTTAATCCAGTTGCCAAACATGTTCATCCTTTTTGATTCATGAGGATATCCCTTAATATGGAACGTGGTGATTGTAGTGCTTGTCATGTTAATACGATCTTGTACGATTTGCTTTCATTCTCAGAAAGTCAACAGTGATCTCAAGTTAAACTCAGGAGAGACAACATGTTAAGAGTTAAATACATGCTGGGATGTATTCTGACAAAACACATCACCACCTTAGTGAGGGCTCGGATCCCTTTCAATTTACTTGCTCACACTCAAACAGTATGCTGTTTACTGGCTTTATAGGAATAGACTGTCCCCACAGTGGAAATAGCTGTGATAGAAGGTTGCATTTTTCATTCAAAATGTTAAGGGTAAGAGTTATTGGTTGTAGCTTATTATACAAGATACCCACAGGACCATGTATTAACTGGGCCCATCTGTACTTTCGGGCCTCAGTCTTAAATTCAAGAAAGCTACACCAAATTACAAGTAATCACATATTTCAGTCCCCTCAGAATGTTTTCATCAAGATCCTGCATTATTCCCTGGGTAATCAGTGAAAATAAAAACAAACGCCCATCCTCCTCAAAATGTAATGGGTTCTATCTTGGCCCATGTCCCATACTTTGAACAAGTTTTATGAAAATCCATTCAGTAGTTTTTTCAGTAATTCTGACTGAGGTAAATATCATTTGCATTAAATGTAGCTCATGACAAACAAACAGGCAAGCATCAGCAGTCAGAGAGAAAGGTCCAACTCTCAGCTGGACTGATTCTATAGTTATAGTTCTCAAAAGCTTCAGCCTTGATCTATGATCCTAATATGTACAACTTTACAGACACATTGTTTTCTCAAATTGTCATAAGATTATTTTAGGTTGATGTGAGTATTGTGTCGGCCTGTCTGTGTGTATGTGGTGCCTTCTGCCATTCATCGGTGGTATTTCTACCAAGCACATAACTGTGATGAAGGATTTTATTGCTGGAATAGAAGCTGGAGACCGACCGCCTGTTTTAAAGTAAACAAAATGCAAATTTCTTTGTGGGAGAAGAGAACCGCATGTGTGATAATACATCATATTTACATGATGGTTAATATAAAACTTCAGATGAGTCTTCACTCACAGAGTACTAATGCCTTTCTGCTCAGTGCATTCTGAGTGCATGGCTGCACATGGTTCACTGACCTCATAGTCACCAGGATGAGCTTTGAAACCAATAACAGAACCAATTCTGCTTGAGTAAACACACACATCCTCTTCTCACAGATTCAGGTGGTGTTTTTTTTTTTCTAAATGACAGTGTCTGGCCTGGCTTGGCCCAGAACGAATAACCATTACCATTATGACAGGAGCAAAGAACTCAGCTGACACAGTATAAACAACCTGGCTCCCCCCTACCTCTCCAACCTCCTCCACAAGCACCCCCCCACCTGAAGCCTCAGATCTACTGATGTATACTTCATTATTCTAATCTTTAAATTTGTATTAAAGAGTTTATTGATTGTTTCCTTATTTTATTCCACAGTATGTAAAGCGTCTTTGAGAGCTTTGAAATTTGCTGTATAATTCTAATTATTTTTAATATTATGAATATAATAAAGTGGGAAAAAGTCCAAGTTTGAAGAAGGTCAAGGTGGAAACACTGGATGTACCCTGTGGGTATAAACCTGTCACTGACCATGTGCCTCATGCTGCATATTCCTCCCATTCTACTTCCTGTCTGCCACCGCCTTCAAAATCCCCTTCACTACAGGAAACAACAGCCTTGAGCATACACAGTGAAAATAACAATAAAAGTGGGGAACTCCGCTGCATCTGAAAGTCCTCAGTCTCTGTGCGTGTCTCCATCTCCACAGTGACGTGTACTTCATGTCAGCTTAAGCACAGTTTGAATTTGCTGAGTGGTCCTGTTGCACATAGGCACCATTCCATGTGGACTTGTTGTTTCTGATTCTGTCACATCCTAGTTTTGCCACAAGCTCAGTTCTCCATGTGATTCTGAGCGCAATTCATACTTGTAATCTTTGACCTACACATTACACTTTAAGAGTTTCTAAGGGGTTAAAGATATTTGTAAAGATCGCGACACTTAGTTATGAGCAGTAAACACTTTATTTAAAGGGATTTAGAAAAGTGTTACCAAAATAGTCTGTCAATAAAAAAGCTTAAATATACAGTATGTTAAGGTGCAAATAGGTAGCTGTGTGTTGGAAGCAGGAGTGAATTTCAACTCCTCTGAGAAACAGGAAAAGATTGTGATCAGTAGATCACTATCTGAGTCGTACCTCCATGGTGGCTGTGCTCAACTCAGCATGTTAGCATCACATTCAAAGAACACAACGCTTCATTAACAATGACACACACACACACACACACACACACACACACACACACACACACACACACACACACATCAAAGAGAGGCACAACTGTTGGAGCCTCCTTGGGTCAGACATCTGTGACAGACAGTGTCTGGAACACATCTGGTTGTCTTTGTTCCACAGTGTGGATTAGTACCATCACTTCAGGGTTGGACTGATTTATGGTGTAATATGGCCAGAGTGACCTCAGACAGGATGCACTCCTTTTTATTTCATGAAAGAGAGAGACACTGTGTGGTCTGGGTGTCTAGATTAGCAGTTTAAACCAGTGTCGGCCCAATACTGAAGGTACTTTGTCTCTGTGTGATACCAGTTAAGGTCTACAGCTGTGTGTGTGTGTGTGCTTGTGTTCTCTAGTTTTGACGGCCAATTTTGGTTCAATAACATCATTGTGAAGACATTTTGACTTTATGAGGACATTTGGAGAGCAGAGCAGTGACTTTCATGTCATATCATCAGTCTGTCATGCCCCTGTTGATTTAGTCATGCATGTTTGGGCGGTTAGTAACATTAATCATTGACACAGGTCAGCACGGTGTGTAAATGTAACCTGGAAGCGGATGCATTACTGTGGTCAGTGTCTCCATCCATTCTTCATTCCATCACATTTTGTAAGCATCCGTTTTGTACTTGCTAATTACTTTAATGTAATGCTAATGTGCTCCCTCAAATGCATAGCATGCAAAGTTTAGTTTCAGCCTGGATCATGGCCATAGAAAGTTGTAGAATGTTGTAGGGAAGAGATTTGATTCATCCTGAGTCCTGCATGTGGACAGGTTTAGTCCTGGGTTAGCATCAGGAAAATATGTTATTAAAGTAAACATTACAACTTGTGCTTCAAATCACAGAGGCTTATCTGCATTTAATTAAGACCACCATGTTTCAGTAACCCTCACCAAATGCTAGCAGCACATCACAAGAAGGAAACTTTTCTTCTTGCTTCAGCTGACACAAGCGTGCTGAAGATTTTTGCAACTTGTCGGATGTCAGTTGACAACTTATCCACATTATGTTGATAAAATCCTGGCAGTATTCCATTAGAGTATGTGGACAGGGGTGTCCATATACTTACGGCAAGTGTATCCCATTTTATTGCTTCTCTTCCTCTTCACCCACTGAAACCCCATTTCTTACCTTCTGACCTCCTCCTCATTAGAAATTGCTGTTCTTAATAAAATAAAGCCAACTATTACATTAGAATTAGAATCCATCAATACAACAAAAGATTTGTTTTGGAGTTTATCCAAATGTTTTAATTGATGAAGGTTTTTCCTGCTAAACGTCTGTTAATGTACATGTCTTTCCCTGATCCTGCAGCCATAAAAAGACAAGCAGTGCTGCTGTTAACCTCTGAAGGACCCTGTAAATTCAGCTATCCATAATTTGCTCATTGATAGCTTCTCGTGGCCCTCTGGAGACCTATAACATCTGCTGCTCTATGGTGGTGGTGGTGGTGGTGGTGGTGGTGGGGGCTGCTACTGGTTCTTTGGGATTCAAATACTTTCTAGTGACTCAAGCAATTTAGTTTTTTGAGTCGTCATTTTAAACTCAGGGTTCACTGTTGCAGGTTTTGTCCTCAGCCTATCCGAACCGTGATCCCTATGTACCGTCTAATCTGCCCAGATTTGATGGTAAACACATACTGAAGCTGTGTGTGTTTGTTGGAAGTCTTTGGGTCGAGCTGAATAAAAAGCTTGTATCTGTGCTCGGCCTCTTCTCAATGTTTGTGCGTGTGTGACAGATTTACAGCGTGTGATGGAGAGAGGCTGTGTTGTTATGTTAATGAGGTTGCATGGGAAGGTCTTTGTCTGTGTGTGTGTGTGTGTGTGTGTGTGTGTGTGTGTGTGTGTAGCTGCAGCTATGAAAAGCTTTGAATGCACCATGGGAGAATAAGGTTGATTCTATACACCATCCACTGTCTGCTGTTGGAGAAGCGGAGCACAGTGCTGTGTGTAAGTTTATATCCATGTGACCAGCTGAGTGAATCCATATTGGTAACTCTTTTACAGTGCGCATACAGGACTGCTACCTCATTTCCTCTAAGTTGAGGCTTATCAGAAACAAATAGAAATATGAACATTTTTCAGACGTTGTTAGTTGAATCCAGATGGGGTTTTCTCTGCTTTCAGTCGTA